AGTTTTTACAAGACAGAAGAAACTTATCTCAGTGCTTTGTGGCATGAGACACTTGGTGGGTTGCAGGGCCATTTATTAAGGTAAAGAAGGGCTGGGGGTGGTTAGCCAATCTCTAGTAAAAAATCAATAGGACTGCTACAGATGCATTACATTAGAGACGCTATCGGACACTCAAGGAAGATTCAAGTGTGCATTTAGAGCTTAAGGAAGATGGAGAGGCGGCAGCAGTAGGTGAGGATGCTGCCACAGAACTGCAAAAGACTCAGAAATTTCCCACAGATTGCCTGAGTATCTGCCATACGCCAGGTATCAGAGTGGAAACCCCTGCGCATGATCTCATTCCACCCACACTACAAAGGAAAAGTAACTTCCTGGATGACTCAGGACTCCAGAGTGACAACCCCACTGTCTATTTCTGTCTGCACTTGATCTCCACCCCTTTCTGACTGTGTGACCCTGAACAAGTTACCTCACCTCTCAAGGTCTTTGTTTACCTGTCTGCAAACCAGAAAGAGTAATACAACTTTATGAGAAGTGAGAGAGAAAAGGCGTGTGCAGAAGTATCAAATCATGATTTGCACATGCAAACCAATGGAAGGAATAGGTATTGGCAGCACTCTGAGGACAATGTTGTTACATAGATATGAGTTCTACAAATAAGACCAATGAAGCTTGGGGGGGGCAGAGTCACCACCCCCAGAACCCATAGCAGTATGACACCCCAGAGCCATGTGGTGCATTGGTTCTCATCCCCATGACTACTAGCTGCCTAACTTTAGAGAGGCTCTTACCCTTCCTGAGACTCAGTCTCACCACCTTCAACCTGGGAAGGCAGACTTCTGGTGTGCACATGACCCAGCCTGGACCCCACCCTAGTGGCCTCAGGTGTGCCCAGAGGCACCTGCCCTACAGCAGTACTTATCAGAATTCTCCCCAATTCATTCCTGCATATTAAATAAAAATGGAGGAACAAAGTTGGTTTGTCTTTTTTCAGCATCTGCGGGTGGCGCACGGGCAGAGAGGTCAATTGTGAGATATTTTCGGTATCCTCAAAGTTATTCAGAAACACAAAAGAAGATGACAAAAATTGAGGGCTAAGTGCTCCGAGCAAACAACAGGCATAGCGGACTGCGTTCCTAGGAGCACAGCAGCTTTATCTCAATTGAATGCCAGACAGCTCCAGTCTACTTAGAAATCCACTTGGCTGCTTCAGGACCACTGATTCCGCTTCAGGATGGGGTCCCAAATGGGTGAAGCACATCCGACCTCAGCGCAGCTGGGGGAGTCGCAGAGAGCCGAAGGCGCCGTACTGACGGGAGGAGATCTCGCGGCGCAGCAGATGGCTCCGGAAACGCCGGTGACTCTGACGGGGCCAGGCCTCCTGCCTGCTCTCTCACGGACCAAACAGTAGTGCACGCTCACTGGCTACTATCGTGTGCCTGGCATTTCCTACGTGTGCTTGCGCATCAGCAAAACTCACGCTCTTTTTATGTCTATTCTCCCCATGAGCAAACCGAGGCGGAGAGGTTCAAACCCAAAACAGCTTCCCTTCGAGGCTGCGCTCTTAGTCACTGTGCTTGTAGCTCCTTAAAGGCCAGAAAGAAAGACCAAAGCAGGAAGTGGGACTCGCTCGGTGGCCAGAGGGTGCCCATTAGACCCAGAATGTACGAAGTGTGAACATAAAATTAGTGTTCAAGGTTTTTAAAAGATCATCATAGGGCTGGGCAGATAGCTCAGCGGACTAAAGCCTGCTTAGGCAAAGCACAGCGGCCGGGGCTCCATCCCAGTGTGCCATGCTGGCCCCGCCCCCGGGGTGCACCGAGACGGCAATTGAGACTGGGTGTGGCGGTGCGCGCCAGTAATCCCAGCACTTGGGGGGCTGAAAACAGGAGGATTACTACAAGTCAGATCTATGTAGTGAGACCCTGCACACCCTGTACCAAATACATTAAAAAAAAAAATCATCATAATTTACAGAGGGGAGCCATCGATGCTTATTTTTTTTCCTTGTCCTTTTTAATTTCTTATAACTGTTTCTTTTTAAACCAATTTTGCATGTATTCATCTTGTAATTAATTTGAAGACAACATTATGCAATGCAGCAACCATTATTGAACTCCTATTGTCTTTTCTGTGTGAAGTTACTGTTTTGTTTGAGTTTGGATTTTACTATTTTGTATTCTCTGCAGATAATAAAAAAGAACCATCATCTTTAATCCCTCTTTAAATGCTCCCTCACTTTGAACACAGGCACGCATCATTCTTGCCACTTTGTGAAGCTGGAGCAGTTGAGAAGTCCTTTATTTGTTTCTGGCCCAAGGACCTCCATCCATTCAAATTATTTACCTTTCACCCTCCTTTTGACTTCAGAGAAGAACTAGCAGCTGCTGCGTGGTGCCAGATCCGGTGAGGAGGGCGGATGAGGACACAGTGTAGGGATTTTTACAAGCCTGGTTTTCTGTTGGGTTTCACTCAGAAGCAGCACTCACCATCTATTTTGATGACAACACGTAAAACTCCAGATGTGTGGAGGGTGACGGAGGAGGGAATGAGCTGGAGTCTGGCAACCGTACGGAACCGTCGAGGTGCCAAAGGGTGTAGCTGTTAGTGCAAAAGAATCACAAAGGCCACTCCCGTTCATCCTGCCAAGAGTTTTTGACTGCTGACCAGACATGTGCAGTTGGTTTGAAAGGCAAGTCCTACCACCTGCAGAGCACTGGGTCTTGTTCCTGCTGGACCCAGGATGTAATGGGAAGGAGCTCTTAGAAAGGAAGCAGAGCACTGGGGCTGGCCAAGAGGCATTCAGGGTGCTGCTGATGGGGAGTGTTTGTGCCCAGATGATTGTGGGTTAGAGCTTTGGTCAGAAGATCAGAAAGCAGAGAAAATGTTTCCAAGTATCAGGAAACAGGTTCTGAAACATGGAGTTCCCTGTGCCCTCTGGAAAGCAATCCGACACTGAAGTGTTTGTTATCACAGGATACTGCGTGCCTTGTGTCTGAGCCAGCGCGCCAGAGGAAGCGAGGCATGGCAGCAGCGAATGCTTGGAAGTCATGCCCTGAAGTGAGAAGGGAAGGCCCGCTGGCCACGTCAGCAATGAGCTGTCCCTACCTACGTGACTTCTCAGCCTAGAAACAGAACTCAGCAGCCAATTCTGGCAGCCCTCGAAATGCTCAAGTACAAAGAACGCGGCTCCCGCTGCGTGAGTGCAGGTGAGCGGCCTAAGCTTGCTGGGCTTCAGTTTCTCCTGCTCTAAAGCGAGATTAAAAATGGAAAGTGCAGGTGGAGGGACTACCTCAAGTAACGCACATCAAACACTCGTGGCTGTACTGTACACATCAGAGAGGCACGACAAATGGCGAGCCATGACTTTCATTCATAGTTACTTTATTATAATTATGCAAGTTTTTTCTCAAGAAAGCATGTGTGTGTGCGCATGCGCGCACGTGCACGCTTGTGTGTGCATCTGAAGGCACAAAGCCAGTGACAAAGCACTTTTACAATGTTGTTTGGTAACCATCAGAGGAACATCTTCCTGGAGTAGCTGGCGTTTGGTCTGTGCTTTCAAAAAGATCGCACACTGAACAGAGAAAGCAGTAAGGAAAGGAGCTTCCAGAGAGGATGCCTACAGGGACCAACGGCACAGCTGCCGGAGGTTGCGGTAAGCAAGCAAACCTGCTGCCCTATGGCAGGTTACTTTGTTCTGTGATTGCTTTATGTAAGTCCGTGTTTTAACACCTAAAATGTTAAAGTCCTTGGAAGCTGCCACCATTTCCGTCATTATGTCAAGCTCTGATCTCTCTCCACCACTGCTGTAGTTCACATTATGTGCACCTGTGACAAAACCTGATCCATGTTCCTCCTTCACCCAGTAGATCACAGTTAAC